GTAAAAGTCAGGCACATTGGTGGACACGTGGAATGCCAGCTCTGGGGAGGTGGAGCCAGGAGGACCCCTGAGAGTCACTGACTGGCCAGTCTAGTCTCTTCAGTGAGCTACAGACTCAGTAAGAGACTCCGTCTCCAAAACAAAGAAACAAACAACAACAAAAAAACCAAGGTGGCTGGCTCCTAGAATATCTAAAATGCTTCTCTGGTCTCTATTTGCACATGCACACACATGCATCTGCATACACAAGTGTACCACAGGAACACACACACACACACACACACACACACACACACACACACACCCTGAGCTCCGTACTGGCAGCTTCTCCTTTCACCTGGGCACCCACCTACTAGAAGTCACAGGGGTCCCAGGGGGTTTGCCGCAGCCGGGGTTGAGCCGGTCTCTTCCCAGCCCATTCACTCACTTCCTGTGGATTGCAGTGGATTCAAGTTTGGTGTGTCTACCTAAGTGGATTTGTGGATTTTATCATCCAGCTTTAACCAAACTAATCCTCCAGGGTAGCCAGTGACCCACAAGACTCCTGCCAAGAAACTGCAAAGAATCCTGCGGAGCCAAAGAGAGAAGAGGCTGGCGGAGGAGTCCGGTGCGTGCTCATCACCACCATGTCACGGGTGTGGGAAGAGTGCGGCCCACAGACGCTGTAGAGTTGTCTGAGGGCTGGTGAAATGCTTGGCAGACCAAGGTGCCAAACCCCTGGCGACCTGAGTTCAATCCCCGAGACCCACATGGCGGAAGAAGAGAAGCGGTAGCTAAAAGTTGTCCTCTGACCCTCTGACCCTCTGACCTACACACACGCATGCATGCGTGCACATGCACACACACACACACACACACACACACACACACACACACACACACACACACGGGGGGGGGGAGGAGATAAAATAACTGTTTTTAAAGTCCTATTTGAAATACTCCCACCCTCCCGAATACAGCCTCAGCCCCGGATGCCTTGTGCCTTGAGATATTCATCAATGACAGCATAAAATCCTCACGGTTCACCAGACATTTAAAAACAGCCTTCACAACACAAGACAAACCCCTGCAATTTTTTCCCTTCGCTGTTTAAAGCTATGCGCTTCTCAGCCCAGCACTTTCGATATTTCCCTAAGCAATGATAAATATTTGGAAAGCTCTTGTAAAGTTTCTTACATAACAACATAAGACAAAAGAAAAAACACCTAACACCAGGCAAACACTTTTTCTTTCTGCTGCAGTAAAAATGGCAGAAACAATGAACAGTAAATGATCTGTCGACAAACCGAGGGGCGTATCTTTGTCAGCAAATACTCCTGAAAGATGTGGGGGAACATTGCTGTTGATTGGGAGAAACGAGTATTAGAGAAAATTACCCAGTGTGGGAGGTTTTCTCTACAGTTGACTGAAAGTACAGATGTTTCTAACACATCTCAGCTTAAGGTGTCTTCTGGATTCTCTTCTAATGATGAAACACACAAAACACTTTTTTTTTTTGGTGTGTGAGCCACTAAAGGCAAGCTACAGCAGAAAAGATATACTGCCCACAGTAAATGCCTTGTTGAATAAAAGCAATGGCCTATGGGGAGTACGGTGGAAGTTACAATGTTGGAGGAGCCGCTTGGAAAGGATGTTTGAAAAGGATTCTGGGTACAGTCAGGGTTCAGTGCCTTCAACTCACTCACCCGCTCTTCCAGCCATGGTCAAACCAGCACCACGAGCAGAAGCCTGGCCACATATCAGATGAAGCAGGTGTGGGGTAAGCTTATAGAAACAAGGCTGTCCTCTCAGAGCAGAATGGTTGTGATGCTTGATAATGAGCTTGGGTGTGGTCTTGAAAGCTTTCCAGGCCAGAGAGAATGAATGAGTCAGGGATAATTGTGGCAAAGTCCTAGAAGGAGATGTCCCGAGTCTACCCCACTCCTCTGCCGACACAGTCTCACTATGCTGTCCCAGCTAATCTGGAACTCCTGCCTCAGCCTCCCCAGTAGCTGGAGCCATCTGGCTCCTTTCCTCCTCTTCCTCCTACTTTTCCTCCTTCCTCTCCTCTTCCTTCTCCTTCTCCTCTTTTTCCTCCATTTTTTGGAGACAGTATCCCACTATACAGTCCAGACTGCCTTATATAGCTCAAGCTGGCCTTGAACCTGTGGCTATCCTCCTGCCTCAGCCTCCAAAGCGCTAGAAATTACAAGGCTGCAGCACCACACCTGGCTCTTCTTCGAGATGTATGTGCTGACATTTATTAAGGAGATGAGAGCTGTCTGTTTAGACACTGGAACTTTCCTTCCTTGTTCATGCCCTTTTAGTAAGGATGTCCTTTTAACAAAAAAGTAATAGGGGCACTGTCTTTGAATCTTTGACTAATAGTTTGTGGTGGGGAAAGAGAACTTGACAACAGGTTTGGAAAGGATTTTCTTTGCACAGCATGGACATCTGAGAGAGCATCCATTGAGGCCGGAAGAGGGTCGGTCACATGACCTCCTCTAGTGTGCTCGGCATTATCCCTTAGAGTCAGTCTGGCTCTGAACCTGGAACTCACAGCTACCAAGCCCTGGAGATCCTCCTGGCTTTGTTCTCCCTGGTGCTGGGGTTATAGGAGCATGTGAGGCCACATCTGGCTTTTTGTGGGTACTTGGATCTGAACTCTGGTCCTCATGTGGAGCAGCAAATGCTCTTACCACTAGTCACTAGACCAGTTCCTGACGAGGTTTTTCACTGAGGCTTGATCCTGTGGCCAAAGGTGTATTTTTTGAAATTAAATTATTGCCAGGCAGTGGTAGTGCTCACCTTTAATCCTGGTACTCAGGAGGAAGAGGCAAGCGGATCTCTGTGAGTTCGAGGCCAGCCTGGTCTACAGAGCGAGTTCCAGGACAACCAGGTACACAGAGAAACCCTGTCTTGAAAAAAATAAATAAAAGAAAGGAAGGAAGGAAGGAAGGAAGGAAGGAAGGAAGGAAGGAAGGAAGGAAGGAAGAAATTAAATTATTTATTCATTGTGTGTATGTGTGTGTGTGTGTGTACATGCCCATGCATGCCATGATTTCTTATGGAGATTGGAGGACAACGTCGCAGAGTTGGATCGCTCCTTTCACCAGTGGATTCTGAAGATCAAGCTTGCATTTTTGGGCAGTCAGCAGTCGGAAAGCAACGCTACCTGCTGAGCCATCTGTAGCGTGTGTGACTATCAAAGTCCTCACACACACACTGTGAAGCTTGGGAGCAGAAACCAATCCACTCTGCTTCTTAAAAATTTGGGTATAATCTACACACACCATAAAAGTTGCCCCTTTAAAACATACAATTGAGCAGTTTTCAGAACATTCACAAAGTTGAACATTTATTAACCATCATCTAATTCCAGGATAAGCTGCTTTTAAAACTTGCAGTTTTAAAATGAAGAGGTCCTTGGGTTTTGAACAAATTTATAAAACATAAACGTGTAATGCCAGTCCATTGTGTTGAAAGAGCAACTGACTGACATCCGAGAAGACAGAAATACATCAGCTGGAGCTAGACAAAAGCCTGGCATAATTGGTGGACGGAATTTAAAAACCACTGTGATGATTCTGGAGGCTCTGCTAACAACGCCTTTCCAGCCCCCATATTTTCACGACAGACACTAAAATCCGGAATTGAAATAAACTACTCTGAGAGCCAGGCCTTCAAATTGATGTTTCACAGTGTTAAATCAGGATTTTAGCAAACAAGGAAACATATTCAATCCTCCTAATATTACCAGTGAGAGCAAAGTGTGTTTTTGTACCTTCATAAATGTACAAATAAATTTGTAACGCTGCAGAATTTACTGGAAGCAGTTGATTCCACCTCTGTGTAATTCTCTACAGTGTCCGCATTGGGCAGCTTAGATAGGCACCAAGCATGACTGCACTGGGGTGATGTTCCACAAAGTTCCCAATGCAGGTCAGAGACGATTAGGGTCTGCACCCTCCCCTCTAGCTGACCAACTCCTACCTCTACACACACACACACACACACACACACACACACACACACACGCCCCTGAAAAAATAGAAAAGGAAGAAAGGCAAAAGGAAAGATTGCATGTCTCTTGAAACAAGCGAAGTTCCACACCCCGAGTCAGGACTGGTCTCAATCCTGTTCAAAGGCTGGCGAGCACAGGACTAAAACCTCCCAGCTCTGCCCCTTGACACCTCTTCACTGGCCCAGTGTTACATCCTTCATCCCGACCACTCTCTCTGACCCTGCGTTCTGAAGTTCCCTGATGACTGCTGCCCCAGACCCTTTGCGCTGCTGTTCTGTGATGCTCAGGCCTTTATTTGGTTCAGGGTTCTTATTCAGCTGGCTGTCTCCCCCTGGCCTGATCTCCACCATTACCCACCCCTCCCAACCTGAACCCTGTGTTCCAGGCACTCCGGGCTTTCCTTCTGCAAAGAACCTACTAGCATGCCGGGAGTGTGGCTCACACTGAAAATCCCAGCACTGGGGAGACTGCAGCAAAGGATTGCCATAAATTTGAGGCTGGCTTGGGCTGCAGAGTCTCAGAAAGAACAGGAGGAAGAGGAGCAGGAGGAGCAGGAGAAGCAGGAGGAGGATAGGGCTATGGCTCAGTGGTAGAGCACGTTCCTAGCAGGCACAAGGCTCTTGTTTTCTTGTTCTGAGCTGAGGGGGAGGGGGAACCCCGAAACAAAAAGCGATTATTGGCATTCCATTGCATAACACTTTATTATTGGTTTGCCCCTCCCAGGAGAATGCAGACCTTGGAAAGTAGGGGATTTCCTCAGTTCAGAAATTTAGGTGCAGCCTGATATGACCTAAGAATGGGGAGGGTGCAGATCCTTGGATTTCCTGGCTGGGTAATAGACATGGGAGGGCTGAGTGGCTCCAGAATCTTCTCTCTGTGGATTGGTATGGTTGGGCTCATGGAGGGTTCTGAGTGTGGAGCTGGCCCAGTGACGGCGGGAAAGGATTATTACCAAAGGCGAGCTGGGGATCCCAGCGCAACAGCCTTCTTGCCGGCAGAATGGGTTTGGGAATGGTGGAAACCAGCCTCTTCCTGTTTCTTGTGCTGGGTACCTCCGAGTTTGGTGGTGCACCAATGGATGGGTGCATGTTTGGTCCTCCACAAATGACTGTTGCAGCCTTTTCTTTGCTAGCAGCTGGTGGCTGAGGTCAGAAAGGAGAGTCCAGACTGCTCCAGGAGAATCGGGACCACGTTGTCATGGTACCTCCGGAAGGAGGAGCTCTGTGGGGTCTGAGGCTGGCTGCTAGCACAGAGGTGTCTGTCCCCTTGTGAATGCCTGGGTAGGTACCCTGGAAGCGGCCACTCGGGACCGGGATAGGGGTTAAGGCCACTAGCAGAGGGTCCTAGGCCCATAGCTAGAACGCAGGGAGCATTGGGTAAGGATGTGGGAGGGGGCCATGAGAAGTTAGCGGGAGGTCAGGGTAAGGGAAGCACCAGGTGAGGGCCTGGGACCTGATGGGTGGAGCCTGGAGGGACTGGAGTTTAAGACTCTGCAGCAGCCCCCAGTAGCAGCAGCAGGGATCCAGCCAGCAGCGTCAGCTGAGTGGTGGCTGGACCTAGGCTACCGGCGCTGTCCCGGACAGGGATGGTGGTCTGGCGGGTGGTGGTCTGGCGGGTGGTGGTCTGGCGGGTGGTGGTCTGGCCCGGGGTGGTTGCACTGCTGTCATCCTCAGGGGGCGGCAGGCCGCAGTCGGTGTAGGGCTCCAGGCAGCCTGCAAAGGCCATGACGTGCGCGATGTAGTTCTGCTCCTGCACTCCGTGCAGCAGGTGTGCCTGCGGGCCACGTGCGAATATCGCCACGTCCTCCCCGCCGTGGGTCTCCGACTTCACCGGCACAGCCGCCTGCTGCCGGTACGAGGCGTTATCTGGAGGGACAAGACATTTAGCGACAGGATCTCTGACAGAGTGGCCCCCCTCCCCGCGCCCGCCCGCCCCTCAGGCAAGCCACACAAGGGCACTCACAGCTTTCAGCAGTGGTGACGTTGGGTCTTTCGCCTGTACCGACGTAGCCTGGGCCATTGCCATACAGGATGGAAGTATAGGACTTGCCATCCAGAGCTTTGAGCGGGGCCAGCCCTGCACAGAAGAAGAGAAACACCTTGTCCTCCCAAGGACGGAAGTTCAGACGCTCCCCCACCCTTTGGCCAGTAGTTCAGTCCTTGCTAGATTCCCACAAGGCAGGTGCCCTTTTCTGCTCATTTAACAGATAGGGAAACTAAGGCTCAGAGAAAGTTCTGCGCCTAACTGATGCAAAAGAAGCCGCCACTGTCCCCGGCCTACCGAAGATGGAGGTCCCCCGAAGTGTGTAGCCACCAAAGGAGAAGACGTGGGAGTGGTCAGCAGTGACGATGGTCAGCGTGTCTTTCTCACTGGTGAGCTGACTGGCCTTCTCGATGGCCATGTCGAACATGACGGCCTCAGTCAGTGCCAGGTAAGCTGTGCCCAGATGGTGACCACGGTCGATTCGGCCCCCTGCAGGAAGCCAGTGAGCTTAAGCTTGAGCCTGTCCCTGTCCATTGTCCCCTCTTTTCATGGGGTCCTGGAGACTCACCCTCCACAAAGAGGTAGAAGCCTTTGGGATTCCTGCTCAGCACCCTCAGGGCCGCCTCTGTCATGTCCTTCAGAGACGGATCCATCAAGGGGTCTCGTTGTGTCTCGAATTTTGTGTCTACAGGTTCAAAGAGGCCTAAGGGACAAAAGTGATAAATGATTCACCACCGAAAAGTGACCACCAAGCTTGGTAGTGGGGTCATGGTACACATAAACACAATGTTAAAAGGGTACCCATGCAGGAAGCGTGGGGCCATTACCCATGAGGTATGTCACTGATGGATCCAGGGACTTCTGAATGAGTTCTTCACGGTTCCAAACATACTGGGATCCCTAGAGGGGTGTAAACAACTGGTGAGGCCCCCAGCCCTCCCCTGGTCCCTGCTGTGCCCTTACTGCTGTACACCCCATCACCTGGCACCTAGAGGGGTGTAAACAACTGGTGAGGCCCCCAGCCCTCCCCTGGTCCCTGCTGTGCCCTTATTGCTGTACACCCCGTCACCTGGCGCTCCGACAGCCACTCCTCCACCAGGTTCCGGCCGTCCAGCCTGGTGCCGGTCTGGTTGACGTCATTTGGATACTCAGGGTCTGGGGTTCCCGCAGGAAACATGTATTTTCGGCCCCCACCAAGGATCACCTATGGTCAGAGAGAATCAAAGGAAGCAGACTTTAGGGCCTCTGCCTCCTTTCCAACCAGTCCCCAGCTCCCCACCAGGTCTGGGGGAACTACTGAGCCCTCAGAAACCCTGGAGGATCCAGGGAGCTCAGTCTGCACGTTGTCTGGGACCATCCCCTCGCAAAACCTCTTCCCTCTATTCCTCACATTAATGTCCATGTTGGAGATGAGTTGTGTTGCAATGTCCTTGCAGCCCTCCTGTAGAGCCGAGGCAGGCATGTCAGCATCCCCATACCAGTTCCGGTTCACAGTGTGAACATAGGTGCCAGCTGGAGAGGCGTGCTGTACCCTGGTGGTCGTCACCACTCCCACAGATTTCCCTGAAGACAGCGAAGATCAGGTGAGACATCCAGCACCCTAGGCCTGCCCCTAGCCCTGAGCCTGGCTCCAACACACCTGCTTTCTTTGCACGATACATCACTGAGATGACCTCGTTGCCAAATGTGGTGTTGCACTGGTCGAATCGGGCAGCTGCACTCACACCGATGGTCTTGTAGTTGGTCTTGACTCCACACAGGTAGGCTGTGGCTGTGCTTGCACTGTCTGGGACCTGTCTGTCCACACTGTATGTCTGGGGACAGAGACACTCTCAGCTGGGCTCAAAGCAGACATTTATTTCTTCACCCAAGCCTGGGACCTGCTCATTATGCCAGACCCCTAACTGGGCTCTCAATCTCCAGGGTCCTGCCTGTCAACCCTTTCCCTGGGTCCTTGTCAGCCCCTTCCCCACATCCCAGATATGTGACCCAGTACTCACCTTGGACAGAGCCATGTATGGAAAGCGGTCCATGGCTAGGGGTGTCTCAGGTCCTAGTTGGCCTTCCAACTGTCCCTTTAGGATCCTGGTGGCTGTCACTGTGGGCACCCCCATTCCTGAGGGAGCAGAACTTGGTCAGGACTGAACCCCCAGGCCTGCCTGGACCCACTGCTGGCCTTAGGTTCCTGGAGTGCAAGGGCCCCAGGGTGACCAGGCCTCAAATGCTCACCATCACCCAAAAAGATGATGAGGTTCTTGGCTGATGTCTGAATGGGCTGCAGCTTCTTGGCAGCACTCAGGGCCTCGGCTGCCTTTTGGTTCCAGAAGGCTGGGTTCTCCTCCTCCACTGGCCAAGGGAATAGCAGAGGAAGGGTCAGACGGGAGGCCCAGGGGTGTGAATGGAGCATGCCTCTGAAGGAGCCTCATTACCTGGGATGAAGCTAAGTGACAGCTGTAGTCTGAGACCCAGCAGCAGCAGCAGCGGCCAGGCTCCCCGCATGGCTGGGGCTGGTCGTGGGACTGCAGAGGAGGAGAGCTGGGACACCAGGGTACCATCTAAGGCACAGTCTGCCTGGACTTATATAGGGGAAGACTTTGTTCCCAGGCAAACAATCTCACCTTCCTCCCCTGGCTCCAGGTGGCCACGCTGGCTCCACCTCTGCCCTGTGAACTGAACCGAACCCCTGCCCCTACTGGAGGAAATGGCAGAGCCTGGGCCGGGGTCCTGACAGAGTAAGCGCCTGTGTGTTCTTCCCAGGCAGGGTGGGGGGACCGTGCAGCTGCCCTCTGGGCAAGGAGTCTGTGCCCCATGCTGCCAGGGTGCTCACCCATCTCTGCCCACGCTGTCCTGTACAGGCACATCACTCTGCTCCTGAGTCAGGGGGACCAGCTTTGTTCTAGGTGCTGAAGGTAGGTTGGTCTGGAAGGACACAGCTTGGCTGAGGGGCTTTTACTTGGCCTCCTGATGCCAGCAGCCACACTGACAAAGAAAACAAGCCTACGGAATGCCCTGAGAGCCCTGCTGCCCGCTTGGCCTCTTATTAAGCTTGACTTGGGCAAGTCCTTGGGATTTTTCTCCTTGTCGCTTGTTTGACACTGGGTCGCAGACAGAGAAAGGAGCGCCACTCACAGTGGCCACAGACAGGAGCAACCGTGTGCTATGGCTTGGATATGGCTGGAGCCTGTCCCCGACAGGCGCATATGCTTGGTCCCTGGTGTGGTGACGACGCCCGGAGGTGATGGAGCATCTGAGGGGTGGAAGGGAGAGGTGACTGGGCCATTCGAGGCTATGTTCACGGGAGGGGTTGTTGTATTTCTCATGAGCTCCTACATAGTTCCTTCTAGAGGTGGTTCTAACAAAAGGCTAAGACTGGCCTCTCCTCCATTTCTGGCTCCCTTGGGATCTTCCTCTCTGTCCCTGTGACCACATCATGATGCTATTCACCATGTGATGTAGTGAAGGGACCCTTATGAGATGTGAGCACACACGACAGCCAGGGCATTGGACTTCCAAACCCACTTAAAGAAAACCACCTCTTTTACTTCCCACTGTCGGATGCTTTGCCACTGCAGTGGAAAACGGAACGCGCACCAAGTGTCCTTGGACGGGTGGGTGGGTAAACAAACATGAGGTGGTCCATATAAGTAATCAAATTAGCCTGAAAAGGAAAGGCAATCTTCCATGTGTAATTACAGAACTCGGGAGTTGGAGGCAGGAGGATCTAGGTTCAAGGAAGCTGTGGCTACACATGAGTTAAAAGCCAATATGATGAGCACTTTTAATCCCAGGACTTGGGAGGCAGAGGCAGCAGGATCTCTGTGAGTTTGAGACCAGCCTGGTCTACATATTGAGTTTCGGGTCATCCAGGGCTATGTAATGAGACTTTGTCTCAAAAATTATAAATAAATAAATAAACATAAAAATAAAGATTTAAAAAGGCAACATGAGATGAAAGAGAGAAAATGGGCTTGGGGATACAGCTCAGGAGCAGAGTGCTTGCCTAGCACACGTAAGGCCCTGGGTTCAAGCCCACAGGCAAAACCACCCCCACCCCCACCACCCTCAGACCAAACTCAAACAAACCAAAATCAGAACCAAGGGAATCCTGACTCATACTGCAATGTGGATGAACCTCAAGGAAACTGTGCTAGGTGAAATCAGCCCATCACAAAGGTACAACACTGTCTCATCCTTCTTGGGTACCACCAAGAGACGTAAAATTCTTCTGCATACAGAAAAAGGATGAGATGCTGGAGAGATGGCTCAGAGGATACAAGCACATTCTGTTCCTGTACAAGATCCAAGTTCAGTTCTCGTACCACATCTAAATGTTCATAGCCACCTAGCCCCAAGGGATCTGATGGCTTCCTTGGATGCCTGCATTGCCCACATACACATATGAATTCTCACACATACTTACATGTAATTAAAAAGAAAATAAGGGGACGTGAAGATGACTGGTTGTTTAAAAGTACTTCTTGCTCTTCCAGTGGACCCAGATTTGATTCCTATCACTCACATGGTGGCTCACAAAAGTCTGTTGCTCCATCCAGTTCCAGGGGAGTTCAATGCCCTCTTCTGGCCTCTGAAGCCCCCCACACTACACACACACACACACACACACACACACACACACCCCTAAACACCCATACACATAAAATAAGAATGGGTAGGGGTGTGAGAAAATCTTAAAAAAAAAAGAAGAAATATAAAACAACTTCCATTTAATGAAGTCCATGAAAACAAAAAAGGAAAGAGCAAAGAAGAGTGATATGCACAGGCAGGGTCTGGGGAGAGGAGAGATGGGGGGCTTTTGTCTAATGGGTTCAGTGTCTCAGCTCTTCAAGACGTCTGGTCATGTACCGCACAGTCACATGGAGTCCTTAACACTGAACATCTACAACAGACCAAAGCCACCCTGCCTCCTGCCGACGCTCCAGCCACTCCCTTGGCTTCCTGTGCTGGCATGAATTTTTTCAAGTTTATCAATAAATGGTTTTATGGCCATACAATAATTACACATATTAATGGGTACAATGATAATTCAATCTATGATACAATATTGAATGAGGAAATCAGAATAATTAGAGTTTTCATCTCCTTAAATATTTCTTTGTGCTGGGAGAGGAAAATTCTTGACTAAAGTTCAGGGGTGATTGGCTACTGGAGGAACTCTTAATCAATTAATTAAAAATAAAAAACAAAGTCATAGGTTAAAGGTTCATGGCTCTGCAATGATTGTTCAGTCAGAAGAAAGGTTTAGCCATGACACATCATTTTTCTTTAAAATTGTAAACTTCCTCCACCTCTTATTCTTTTTCCATTATCTTCATCATTATCATCATCACCATCATCACCATCAGCAGCGACACCATCAACATCATCACCATCATCAGCATCAGCACCATTAGCACTATCATCACCACCATCACCATCATCATCATCATCACCATCACCATCATCACCATCAGCAGCAGCACCATCATCACCACCATCACCTTCAGTACCACCACCATCATCTTGTGTGTGTTTGTGCCGTATGGGGGTCAGAGGACACCTTTGTGGAGTCTGTTCTCTCCTCTTTATATAGGTTTCAGGTATTAAACTCAGGTCGTCAAGCTTGTGTGGCAAGCACCTTTACCTGCCGAGTCGTCTTGCTGGCCTCTATTCCTTTCTGAAATTGTAATGCTGGCGTAATTGTAGATTCATATTTATAGTCATAAACAATCAGATGAGCTGACCACCAGGGGATGGGGACTTAGTGATACACTTCTCAGACACTGTTCTCATGTCCCTAGTTTGACATATGTGAATTTGTGTGGGGATGTGAGATTTTGCTCAGGTTTCCCAATCTCTTCCGTGTGTAGGTATGTGCATGTGAGTACAGGGGCCTGCACAGACCAGAGGAGGATGTGGGATCCCTCTGAGTGTTACACGAGGTTGTGAGTCACCTGAGCTGGGTGCTGGGAATCCAACTTGGGTTTTCTGCCAGAGTGGTGTATGCTCTTAACCAGTGAGCTTCCTCTCCAGCCCTCCTCCCTCCTTCCCTTCTTCCTCTCCTTATTTCACATCTCTCGACGTAGCCCGGACTCCTGAATCTTGTGATCTTGCTTCAGCCTCCCGAGTGCTGGGGTTAGGGTGTGTACCAGCTCCTGCTCAGCTTTTTCACCTGAGTGGTTCGTGTCACTACCGTGGCCATTTCCCTCCTGTCTCTAAGCCCACTAGACCCCTCTGCGCCCCTTCACTGGCTTCCCTACCCTCTTCCTTTGTCCCCAAACCCTAATCCAGTAATTCCAAAATTTCTAAGAAATTGTGCCAATGGAATAAAATCCTCTGTCATCTCTTGAATTAGGATTTCTCACTCAACGGAATTCTTTGGAGTTGCTCAAGCATGTACTGGTACCCCCACTCCTCTGTGTGGCTGAGCAGTACGACACAAGATGGATGGGTCACCTTGTCACTTTCAGGTTGAAAATATATCTGGCCTTTTCAGCCTTTCTGGGCGACTAGAGGTAATTGGGTCCCTAATGGTGTCATCATCTATATATTGCCTTACTGAACACCTTTATCGTGAGTGTAGAAACTGAGCTCCCTCATCTCTAGATTTCATCAGGAAACTTGCTTCCTTACAGCTTGACTACCGTCATAGTGTTAGCCCTGGATAGAAAAGCTTCTGTGCGGCACAAACCATGACAAACGCACACCGATTGAGAGTGTTGATGGGATGGAGTTCCTCTGTAAATGTCCGAATGGCCCGGCAAGGGATGGATGAGTTTCAGTAAAACACAGCAGCTGAGTTTTAGTATATTCCCGGGAGTATGTGCCACTCAGGGGCAGGCGCCAATCGCAAACCTCTGCAACAGACTGGGAAGAGAAAACTACAGCAAGGTTTTCTCACGGTCTGTACCATTTTTGTCTATTCTATGAGTAATAGAATCTAAAACTTTTACTAGCATTAATTCATTTAGCATTTCTTTATTTTTGGCTTACCGAGACAAGTTCTTATACCTTTGGCTGGCCTTGTAGTATCTCTATAGCCCAGGTTGGCCTCTAACTATTAACAGTCGTCTACCTCAACCCTGTAAGTGCTGAGATTACAAGTACCTACTATTGCTGGGTGGTGGTGGCGCACTTTAATCCCAGCACTTGGGAGGCAGAGCCAGGTGGATCTCTGTGAGTTTGAGGCCAGCCTGGGCTACAGAGTGAGTTCCAGGAAAGGCTCAAAGCTACACAGAGAAATCCTGTCTCGAAAAACCAAAAAGAAAGAAAGAAAGAAAGAAAGAAAGAAAGAAAGAAAGAAAGAAAGAAAGAAAGAAAGAAAGAAAGAAAGAAAG